AGGCCAAACTCAGTTTCTGGTTAAATGGAAAGGATATGGGGCGGAGAAGAATTCATGGGAGCCGGCCCAAAATGTGCACGCCCCAAGGCTTGTGCGGGAATTTTTTCGGAACCAGCCGTTGAGTAGGGGTCGGTTGGGCATCCGGAGGTTGCCCGTAGGGGGGGGGGCAATGTCAGGGATCCCGGGTCCTCGGTGGCGCGCGCATGCGCAGACCGCTGATCCGTCCCAGCCGGCGAGCGCAGAATCCTCGGCGATCGCGGCGGCCGCGCATGCGCAGTAGCGATCGCGGCCGCACCAATGGGAGAGCAGGGCGCCCTATTTAAAGCTGCCTGTGCATCTCCAAGTTGCCGCAAGGTCTCGTTCCTGTTCCTGTAAGTACGCTTCTTGTTGCCAAACTCTGCCTGTCCTGTTTATGCTGACCTTCTCCTGCTCTGACCCTGGCTCGTCCCTGACCATCCTTCTGCCTGACCTCCTGCACCGCGCTGCCCGCTACCTGCTGAACCTGGCTTGTGACCCCGACCATTCTCCGCTTACTCCCCCGTACCACGCTGCCCGCACAATACCGACCCGGCTAGTCTGACCTCGCCTACTCCTGATAGCTGCCCATCCATCCCGCTCGGATCAGGATCTGTCATCCCATCCATCCTGCTCGGATCGGGATCTGTCATCCCCTTCACAGCAGGCTCTACCCGGGCACATACCCTCAGCGGGACCCCTCTGCCACCGCCGGGGGTGCCCAGGGACGCGACCTGGTTTCAGTCTTGCACCAAGTCCATCCCCACCATCAGGGGCCCTGGTGAAAAGGCAGACTGGGACTTAGACTCCGCGTCCTGGGAGACCCCGTGCCATGGACCACCAGAGATCCCGTTGGGCGGAGCCTGACAGAAAGTCAAGCGTGGCCAGGGGGCCAATGTTGGGACTACAGCGTTGCGTCAGCATATGCAGCGTCGCCATTCGGTGGCCTGGGAAAACCGTGATAAAGATACAGCGGTTCTGCCTGCCCCAGCCCCCGCTCCATCACCCGCTCCGTTACTTGCTCCGTCACCCGACGTCAATCGCCCTCTATCAGCCAGTCAGGGCTCCAACACCTCTGCTGAGGGGAGTTGTCGCTCGTTGGCATCTTCCGCTCGTTCAGATGCTCCTTCTCCTGCTACTCCTCTTCACGGATTCCGTCAGCAGTCTTTCTTGGAATCCGTTTCCAAGAGACAACAGTTTGCGAGCACGCACCCGACGGTGCAGAAGCTGAACGTCCTCCTGTCCAAGTTGCTGGTGCTGCAGTCCCTCCCTTTCCAAGTGGTGGACTCAGCACCTTTCCGAGAAATGATGGCTTGTGCCGAGCCGCGGTGGAGAGTGCCAAGCCGGCATTTCTTTGCCAAAAAGGCAGTGCCAGCCCTGCATTCACATGTAGAAGAGATGGTGGGCCAGTCTTTGAGCATGTCGGTCTCTGCCAAAGTGCACGGCAGCGCCGACGTGTGGAGCTGTAACTACGGTCAGGGACAGTACATGTCATTTACGGCCCACTGGGTGAACGTGGTGCCGGCACAGCCGCACCAGCAACTTGGACAGGTCACGCCGCTTTTGCCTCCACGTTTGCACGTCCTTGGTCCAGCAAAGATGTCCGCCTCTACCACCTCTTCTTCCGCCGTGTCCTCAGCCGCCACCCCCGTGCCAAGTCCCATTACCCGACCGGCATATCACATGTGCAGGGCGCAACGGTGTCACGCTGTGTGCTGCACCTGGTATGCCTTGGCGAACGTAGTCACACAGGGGAGGAACTTCTGAGTGTAATGAACAGAGAAATCGACAGATGGCTGTCTCCGCGCAAACTGAAAATCGGAACCATGTTGACCGACAACGGAAAGAACATGGTGTCTGCTCTGCGTCAAGGAAGGTTGTGCCATGCGCCATGCATGGCTCACGTGTTCAATCTGGTTGTCAAGCGGTTCCTAAAATCCACCATCCCACTGCAAGACATCCTTAAAATGTCACGTAAACTTTGCATGCATTTCAGCCATTCCTACACCGCAAAGCACACCCTCCTTGAGCTGCAGCGGCAGAACGGAATTCCACAGCATCGCCTGATCTGCGACGTTGCAACAAGGTGGAATTCAACCCTACATATGTTAGACCGCCTTTACGAACAGCGAAAGGCCATCACCGATTTCCTGATGTTACAAGCGGATAAAGGTACTCCCCTGTGTAACTTAGATGTCAGCCATTGCAGCTCATGCGTGACACCTGCCGCTTGCTCAGGCCCTTTGAGGAGGCCACGCTATTCGTGAGTCGGCAGGACTATGGGATGAACGACGTCATTCCTCTGTTGCACGTCCTGGAACAAATGCTGTTAACAATGGCTGGTCAGGGTGCGGTAGACGTGGCGCACAGATCTCAACGCCACATGACCCCTGTGGGGGCAGGACAGGAAGAAGAGGAGGAGGTAGAGGAGGACATTGGTGCTCAGGAATTATTGAGTGAAATGGGTGGTTTTTCCACTCAGCGGACAGGAGTGGAGGAGCAGGAGCATCTGGTAGAGGAGGAGGAGGAGACACAGAGGACCCAGACGCACCGTGGCAGTATGCTGTGGAGATGGAGGAGGCAGGGAGTCCCTCGCATTCCTTGGCACAAATGGCCCATAGCATGCTCGGTTGCTTGCGTAGCGACAGCCGAATAATAACCATCAGACAGAGGGATGACTTTTGGCTGTCCACCTTGTTGGACCCTCGCTACCGTTCAAAAATGGTGGCCTTTTTCACACCTGAGAGGGGAGGCCAAAATAAAGTACTATAAAAACCACCTATGTAGTCAGTTGGTCTCTGCCTTTCTGCGCCAACGTCCATCCTCAGACACTGTGGGCCCTGTGCGCTCGCGTTCCGCTGCCATGGCAGCAGGGGAGGGGTGGGGTGGTAGGTAGGAGCAGTGGCAGCTCCACCAGCAGCGGCTGCCTCAGTCTGCAGTCGATGATGAGTAGCTTTCTTCACCAGCGCAGTGAGGAAACTACTAACCAGCCGCAGCAGCAGCAGCAGCATCAGGTGGACCTGGAGCAGGACCTCAAACAACAGGCTTGGGCCTACTTGGACAGCACCCTGCCAACCGAGGTAGACAATCCCCTTGACTACTGGGCAACGAAACTTGACCTTTGGCCCCAACTAGCTGAATTTGCCCTTGAAAGGCTGTCATGCCCGGCCAGTAGCGTGGCATCGGAGCGCGTGTTTAGTGCGGCAGGAGGTATTGTAACTCCGCGGAGGACACGACTGTCCACCCAAAGTGTGGAGAGACTCACGTTTGTGAAAATGAATCAGGCGTGGATTAGTCTGGATTTCAAACCACCAGTTCCTGACACAACTGACTAAATCCGCCATGAATCATGCCCCAAACATGTTATTAGGGACAAATGGAAGACCTCCACCTGATCCGTACATTTGTATATATATTTTATTGAGAGGCTGGTCGGCCCGACTCATGTTTTGCACATTTTTAATGACTTATACTCTGCAGGTCGGGCCCCTCATGAATTGGGGTTTTTAAATTATTTATACTTCGCTGGACGACCGTCACATGAATTGAACCTTTTTAATGACTTATACTCTGCTGGTCGGGCCCCTCATGAATTGGTGTTTTTAAATTATTTATACGTCGCTGGACGACTGTCACATGAATTTAAACTTTTTAATTATTTATAGTCGACCAGTTCCAGACCGATGGAATAGCAATTTTTTTAAATATTTATTTGACACGTGTTGTCCATCTCATCAATGAGGTGGACTGTTTATTTATTGGCCACGGTTTGGCCCCCTCCTGTTTCTTACATTGTTAACTTGTTGTATCGGTCACGGTTTGGCCACATGTTTTGTCTTGTTTAAGATTTTCTGTAATGTACACAGTTACGCTTGACTTGTCGACTTTCCACAATCTACTAAGGTATAGCATCGCATCAAAGTTTTTTTTTTTTTTTTTTTTGGTCTAAACCATTTCTTATAATGTCAATTTGTAGGATACGCCGCTGTAAGGCGACCTACTTTTTTGTCACTGTGTAGACATCTATTTATAGGCCGATGTTTGGCCAGAAAGATATATTTAGTAATAACCTAGCCGTTCAAGCCGCTCACTGAACACCTCGGGAATTGCTTTGTATATCTGTCGCCTTAGGGGCCGCTGTCTGGCGACATAATTTTTTGTCACTGTGTAGACATCTATTTATAGGCCGATGTTTGGCCACAAAAATATATTTAGTAATAACCTAGCCGTTCAGGCCGCTCCCTGAACACCTCGGGAATTGCTTTGTATATCTGTCGCCTTAGAGGCCGCTGTCTGAACAGCTCATGAATTGCTTTCTATATGTGTCGCCTTTGAGGCCGCTGGCTGGACAGCTGATGAATTGATTTGTATATATGTACTTATTGTCCGCTGTCCGGACAGCTCATGAATTACTTTTTGTATATAGCCTTCCAAACCACTCTCAGAATAAGTCATGATATTCATGCTGTGTATAGCCTTATAGGCCAATGGTCAATCAAGTCATGATTGTTATAGTGTGTATAGCCTTATAGGCCGCTGTCTTTACAACTTTATAATTCCATGCAGTATATAGCCCTATCGGCCACTTTCTGGCATCCAGTTGCTGTAGCCCCCATCACCACACTGTGCCACGGGCCCCTGTACCGCCTTCTCATACTGCTGCCAGATCCATCCTCTGCCATGTGCGTCTTTGTCGTCTGCTCACGCTGCTGGGTTCCAGTTTTAAACCTAGGCCTGTGTATGGCTTCCGAATACTGCTGCCTCCACCGCCACCCTGCGCCATGTGCCTCTGTCGTCTGCTCACGCTGCTGACGGCTTCCGCTTTTTAACCTAGGCCTGTGTATGGCTTCCGAATACTGCTGCCTCCACCGCCACCCTGCGCCATGTGCCTCTGTCGTCTGCTCACGCTGCTGACGGCTTCCGCTTTTTAAACTAGTCCTGTGTATGTCTTCCGAATACTGCTGCCTCCACCGCCACCCTGCGCCATGTGCCACTTTCTTTCGGTCTCCTCACACTGCTGCCAGGTCCATACTGATTCATGGCCCCCTGTACCGGCTCCTCATGAACGTGGTTCAGCGGGTTTGCATCACTTAACGGCAAATCGTTGACAAATGCTGGGACGTTCAGTGTTGTGCGCATTAAGCCAGACACCAAAGGGCAGCACAGACCTGTGTTAGTACTCGCTCAAGCATGGCTGAACAAAACCAGTCTCTACCACAAATTGGACCCAGACCTGCCCAGGGTCTCGTAACTAGATTGCACGGAGGAGTAGAGTCCGTTATCGGAATTAAATAGACAAAACGCCACACCAAAAAGAGTGGCCATTTCCAACACTTATTCCAGAAAGAGGAACAACCCGTTTCATATACGGCCCGTAGACGTTTCACGTCTGCCACATTCAGTCGATTTAAGACGCAAGCTCCACTTCCTGTGGTCTCTGACCGTCGATATACCTTTAAGTGTCAGCTTTGAAGCTATATTCCCTCCGGAGCACTGACACTGGTGCCCTTCCGTCAACATGCCTTTAAGTTTCAGTTTTCAACCATATTCCCCACAGAAGCCAAACTCTTGGGTATCCCAGAAGCTGCTCAGCGGGTCAGGGCAATAAAGCTCCCGGTTCGCAGGTTGTTCCGTCTTATGGATGGAAGTACGACGGTATATGATCTTCTTCGCACCCACGGCATTACCTCATAAAATTTCTGCATTGCATCTGCAATCACAACGCTGACTTCCCGGATCGCCACTCAGCCATTGGACTCTTGATAGTCGTCTCCCCACACTGCTGCTGGGGGGACTTTTTAACCTAGGCCTGTGTATGGCCTTCAATTGAAGCTGCTTCCTCCCGCTCCGCCACTCTGCCATTGGACTCTTGATAGTCGTCTCCCCACGCTGCTGCTGGGGGGACTTTTTAACATAGGCCTCTGTATGGCCTTTAATTGAAGCTGCTTACGCTCCGCCACTCTGCCATGGGCCTCTTGGGTATCCCAGAAGCTGCTCAGCGGGTCAGGGCAATAAAGCTCCCGGTTCGCAGGTTGTTCCGTCTTATGGATGGAAGTACGACGGTATATGATCTTCTTCGCACCCACGGCATCACCTCATAGAATCTCTGCATTGCATCTGCAATCACAACGCTGACTTCCCGGATCGCCACTCAGCCATTGGACTCTTGATAGTCGTCTCCCCACACTGCTGCTGGGGGGACTTTTTAACCTAGGCCTGTGTATGGCCTTCAATTGAAGCTGCTTCCGCTCCGCCACTCTGCCATTGGACTCTTGATAGTCGTCTCCCCACGCTGCTGCTGGGGGGACTTTTTAACCTAGGCCTGTGTATGGCCTTCAATTGAAGCTGCTTCTGCTCCGCCACTCTGCCATTGGACTCTTGATAGTCGTCTCCCCACACTGCTGCTGGGGGGACTTTTTAACATAGGCCTCTGTATGGCCTTCAATTTAAGCTGCTTACGCTTCGCCACTCTGCCATGGGCCCCTGTACCGCCTCCTCTTGCTGCTGCCAGGTCCAGAGTGTGTCATGGGTCCCTGTACGGCCTCCCATTGCTGCTGACTTCATCGCCAGACTCTGCCATGTGCCACTTTCAGGTCTCCTTACACTGTTGGTGGGTTCCATTTTGTGATAGGGTGCTGTATGGCCTTCCATTGCTGCTGCTGCCTCCTACCGCCACCCTGCGCCATGTGCCTCTGTCGTCTGCTCACGCTGCTGACGGCTTCCGCTTTTTAACCGAGGCCTGTGTTTGGCTTCCGAATACTGCTGCATCCACCGCCACCCTGCGCCATGTGTCTCTGTCGTCTGCTCACGCTGCTGACGGCTTCCGCTTTTTAACCTAGGCCTGTGTATGGCTTCAGAATAATGCTGCCTACACCGCCACCCTGCGCCATGTGCCTCTGTCGTCTGCTCACGCTGCTGCCAGGTCCATACTGATTCATGGCCCCCTGTACCGGCTCCTCATGAACGTGGTTCAGCGGGTTTGCATCACTTAACGGCAAATCGTTGACAAACGCTGGGACGTTCAGTGTTGTGCGCATTAAGCCAGACACCAAAGGGCAGCACAGACCTGTTATTACTCGCTCAAGCATGGCTGAACAAAACCAGTCTCTACCACAAATTGGACCCAGACCTGCCCAGGGTCTCGTAAGTAGATTGCACGGAGGAGTAGAGTTCGTTATTGGAATTAACTGTGAGGGACTTTTAAACCTAGGCCTGTGTATGGCCTTCAATTGAAGCTGCTTCTGCTCCGCCACTCTGCCATTGGACTCTTGATAGTCGTCTCCCCACGCTGCTGCTGGGGGGACTTTTTAACATAGGCCTCTGTATGGCCTTCAATTTTAGCTGCTTACGCTCCGCCACTCTGCCATGGGCCCCTGTACCGCCTCCTCATGCTGCTGCCAGGCCCGTAATCTGCCCATGGGCCCCCGTACCGACTCCTCATGCTGCTGCCAGGCCCGTAATCTGTCATGGGCCCCTGTACCGCCTCCTCATGCTGCTGCCAGGTCCAGAGTGTGTCATGGGTCCCTGTACGGCCTCCCATTGCTGCTGTCTCCATCGCCACACTCTGCCATGTGCCACTTTCAGGTCTCCTCACACTGCTGGTGGGTTCCATTTTGTCATAGGGTGCTGTATGGCCTCCCATTGCTGCTGCCTCCACCGCCACACTGTGGCTCCACACTCTGGTTTTGGCCCCGTGACTGCCCAAATGAGTGAAGTGTGCGGTGATTCTAAGATCGACGGCACTCATCTGCATGTCATACTGACTGACAGTATTATTTCTCTTCCCAGCAGACTCCAAGGGCATTTAAATTAAAGGTACAGTGTTCTGCACTAATATAAAGGCTCTCTGAAGCCTAGAAACACCCTTTTTATAAGTTAAATTCGCAGCGAATATATTCGGCTCGAAGCGAATTTATTCGGCGAATTCGGCGAATCAGCCGAACCGAATTTTTGAATAATTCGCTCATCTCTAGTAATCACCGATCTACAGGGTACTGCTACTGCTCTATTCCAGGAATTGGCTCCTGAGATCCCCTTGGAGCGACTGGAGTTTGATCGTGTCCATAGAGCTTTAGCTCCTAAGCCCACGGAGGGCCCTCCCAGAGACATTATCATTAAATTCCACTTTTACCGTACTAAAGAGCGTCTACTACAGGCGGCTCATCATCCGGCTTTGGAATTCCAGGGTCACTCTGTTCAGCTGTTTGCAGATTTGTCCCCAGTCACGATTGCCAAACGTCGTACCCTGAGACCCTACCTCCAGATTTTACAGTCAGCTGATATTAAGTACAGATGGGGCTTTCCTTTCAAGCTCTCTCTCTCCTTCCAAGGTCGTCAGTTCCAAGCTTCTTCACCAGCAGATCTACGCCGCCACTTTCAGGAACTGAAATTGGAGTTACCACACACCCAGAACGAGGGCAGGGGGTGTGTCCTATGCTACATACGTTTGCTGGTAGGTGTCCCTCATTCTCATCTCAAAAACTTGGAAGGTATGCCTAACCCACATGATAAAACGTTTGTGAGCTGGTGTGCAATGTGTAGGGGTCAGTGCGATGCATTGCACTGTTTTTTTTTTTCTTAAAGTGGAACTTCAGTCTCCCAGTCCACATGGACTATTCTTAATCCTTATGCTGCTAGCATTAGTAAATAGATAGGAAAGTGTGTTATATTTACTTGTTTTAAACTTTTTTTTTTACATTGCTTCAGTTACTTTCTGGTTACCATGCCTAGGCAAATGATGTCACATATCTCAGCAGTCTTCAGGAGAGGAGGGAGGGTTTCTAGCTCAGCCAATGTCTGAGCTAAGGGCAGATGGATTACAGGAAGTAAATGCTAAATTAATCTTCTGCCCTTACCAAAGATAGCTACAACCAGAATGCCAGGGGGTGATTTTCAAAATGATTTCTCAGCAAAATAAATCACGGAGATATGGATAGATGGAGGAGTTTGCTTTGAATATTAAATAATTATATAGCATTTTAGTTTGTGGTGCTTATGTGCAGTGTAGTTCCGCTTTAACTTTTTTGAAGTGTCACAAAATTTCCTCTTATTCATTCTATGCACCACAATTTGTGCAGTGATATGCATTGTGTTGCATTTAAATGTATGCTGCTTTTTGATGCAGTGCACCACACCTTAAACACAGCATTGTGTGCGCAGGGAACTCAGAAAACAGCATTTCTCAACTTTTTTAAAATCAGGACATCATTTAGAGCCCACGTACATGGGCCCTTACAGTGCAATAAACAGGCAGATTCTGATGCCCAGGTGCCCCAGCTGTCCTTAGACATGAATGGATGCAGATTGCTTAACACAAGTAAACTGACCCAAAATAGTAAAAGCACATCATTTGAATTTTAGCTGCATATATTTATGCCATCACCACTTTCCCAAACACACTGACACTAAATATATAAAGCCTTTTTTTTTTTTTTTTTTTAAAAGATACTTTTATTACAGAAGCATCAAAAACAACATGATACATGTAATCGGGGTACATCTCACCCTGTACTGCGACGCAGCGCACCACATTGCAATACAGTTCCAAGCATGCAATAAATACATTCAGAAATAAATACATTCGCTCAGCGGTATGATGCCTGACGTGATGTGCGTGGAGGGCGATCTCCAGACCACCACGTCATGCATAACGCCGCTTACCCAAAAAACCTTAGCATCCTAATACACAATACTTTTTACTAATGTCACAAAATCATGCAAAACGAAAAACCAAACGTTACAGTCTACAATAGGCATCGGGTGTGTGGGGGGGGGGGGAAGGGGAAAAAAAGGGGGAAACACAGGCCCGAAGCTTTATTGAAAGGACAAAGACACGCAAGGGGGAGTAGGGGGAATCTTCAGACGTCCTCTTCCTCCTTAAAGTCCATCAAGGAATAGTCTCTGAGCAGACTGAGGATCAGTCTGCGGCAGTCCTCAATGGACATCCTCTCCCGCTGGTGGATGAGGCGCTTTCTGGCGCAGCATAAAGCGTCCTTAAAAACAGCACAGCACCCGCCAGGCGCCATCAATGTCCTCCAGAGAAAAAGTCCCACAGAATAGTCCATTCAACACCCCAAAGTGTGTGTGTGATGCTGTCTGTGGTACAAAGTCCTTGAGTTATATGCTGTTACACAGTTAATATTTATGTTAATGTACATGAGAATTCATATAGTTTATTTTTTGTTGTACCATTTTCTATGGACATTTCTATAGTTAGTAATGCTGCCATCCAGTGGTCTTATTTGGTAATACACTTTGTTTTATATTGCCTCCCTGAGATCTATGACACAGTTCCTTTGTATATGAAGCTCCTCCCTTCTTCTTCAGTTCAGCACTTCCTGTGTCATGGATGCAGCTAACAGACCACATGTAACAGGGACACATGGTATTCTGCATAGTACGCTACAGAAATTATCATCTTTTGACCGCATAATACTGGAAACCATTCATTCTGCTGTATCCTGTTGTCACATGTACAGAATAAAGCAACTTCTGGATGAACACAGTATTGGTGAGTTCAGCTATCTGACAAGGATTGCCCACAGTGATTATATCTGCTTATACAGGCTAGGCAGAAGAGGTCTCACAAGGGATAAAATCGCTATCACAACAATCTGAGTCAGAATAGTCAAAAGATGCATAGAATCCCTACAGCCTGCTTGTGTGTATATGTGTGTGCCTAATCTGCAATCAAGCTCAGTGCCATCCGCCATCTTGCAAAGCACATGGTCGCACAAGCTTACTGCACTTCTGTGAATGTTGAAAACTGTTTCTTCTGCATTGAACTGTGTTACCCCACCTGTCTAAACTGCTGTTCGTCTTCTTAAAGAGACAGTACCAATTTTTGCAGAATAGTAAAAAAATGTCTAGACAAGGCTCTGAACACTCCTTTATGGCCGAACCAACGCAGATACATCATTTCTCTCAACCAGCAGACGTACAGGAGCAGATTCTGCAGACATTCCCGAACAGAGCGTAAAACCCAAACGTTACAATAAACCGACACAGAAACTCAGGGAAAACTATGAAGCCACTAGAGATGAGTTCTCCAGTAATCTGTTAGACCTCTGGGACCGAACTTCACAATGCATGTCAGTTTTGTCACACTTTAATGATCAACCAGCTGAATTAAGAGACTCTATAAATCGCCTATCTGCTGCATATGAACGCTACCAGCGGCTGTTTGTAAAATACTCAGCTTTTCTGCAGGACTCTAATATAGAGGATTCTTCAGCAGAAACTGACCAGGACCGATGCACTAAACCAACAAAGGGATCTTGCAGTGCAAAATGCTAAGTTTAAAGCAGAACTCCGCATTACTCATCTGCAGGAGACCAGATCTCACAGATCCACCTCAACCAAGCGCACTGCACTTTCTTCTAGATCCTCTCGCTCCAGAAGTTCCACGTTAAGCGATAAGCTAATAGAGGCCCGCGCTGATGCTGAATCAAAAAAGGCGCAAAGCTTTTTTACCAGAAAGGAAGCAGAGGTAGAAGCACGCAAGATAGCTCAACAAGCAGAGATGGAAGCTAAAAGCAAGCTCAGCAAGCAGAGGCAGATTCCCAAATAAAGATTCTGCAGATGGAAGGGGAGGAAGCAGCTTCCCTAGCAAGGCTGAAAGTCCTTGAACAAGCGATGGGACAAAGTACTAATTCAGACTGCCTTATCCCAGCAGAACTGGAAGATCCAGTTGAAC